AATTAAAACAATACGAGATGACTGTAATTAATGTATCTTCAGTTCAGAAGAATTCTTTTAAAAATTAATTAGAATTATCGAAGAATTTGGGTGTTTTTATGTTTTGCCTTTTAAAATAAGATTCTGTTACATTTGTTTATAAATAAATTTTTCTACTTCTTCTTTCTACTTTTAATCACTCCAGATTAGATTTACAAGCTAGTTTAATTACAACTCGAACTTTAGTATTAATTCATTCAGGATTTGAAAGTATTAATTTATAACAGCTCAAAATTTTAATTGTTACTGCAATACTTCACAATAATTTCCAACTTGAATTAATAATTTTGAAAAGTTACTTTTAATGCATTTTGTTCATAAACATTATCGAAGAAAAAGAAGAACGTTCTAAAAGCTCGCCAAAATTTTAACTCAAGATTAGCCATTTTCAAAAAGCAACAAATCCTCATTGTATCACCATTCCAGTTTCGTTTAATGGTTCGAGTAGAACGCGAACACGCGAAACAAGTAATTTCGACCGACCAAAATATCATCCTCCTCCAACGCTACTATAGTTTCACGAGTTGTCACGTTTCTTTCGGGAAGTTCCGCGGGAAAAATAGCGGCGACCGCGCATGGCCGCTGGATATACGAGTTGAAACACGAAGTGGGAACTATGAAACTTGCCACTTAATATACGTCTGATCGTGAAAGTTTCGGCTGGTTGTGTATCATTTCGACCTCCATCTTGCCACGTAAACGAGGAGCGAAGTCTCGTAATTGCTTTAACTTCGATGCACCCGCAATGTCTTCAGCAAGAAGTCATTGTTATCGAGGGAGCCGAATTAGACTCGCGATTTCACTATCTAAACGTGCCTAACGAAAATACTTGAGAGTTTTGATGAAAATTCTTGATGGTGGATAACGCTTATTTTAGGTTATGCTAGTTAAGATATAGGGGTGGTTTTTAAGCTTGTTCGAATTAACGAGCGTCTCTGTATAGAACAGGTTTTTCGTTTATCCTTTCATCACTTTTTATCTTCCATTATTTTCTGCATTTTTTAATTGTAAAGTTATTCATTTT